ATAGCACGCAGCCCTGTGGAACACCAGCATTAATAGGCTTGCAATCGGAGATTGCACCGTCTATAACGACCTTGATGCTCCGATCTGCAAGAAAGCTGGTAATCCAATCGCACAATTTCTCGGGAAGCCCATAGGAAGGGGAGCTTCGAAAGAAGCGCTTTGTGCCAAACCCGATCGAAGGCCTTCGCAATGTCCAAACTAACGGCCAATGCCTCCCCCTTGAACTCTACTGCGTCCGCCCATCTGTGAGTTAGGTAGACCAGAAGATCACCAGCTGACCGACCACGGCGAAAACCGTATTGGCGGTCACTAATGAGCTGGTGATCTTCAAGGTACCTCATGAGCTGGCAGTTTACAATGGACTCCATTGTTTTGGAGAACAAGGAGGTGATGGCGATTGGCCGGTAGTTGGACGGGTCAGAGCGGTCGCCTTTTTTTAGGGATCGGGTGGACGTAAGCCATCTTCCATGATTTTGGGACTACGCCTATGGAGTAGGAGTACCGGAAAAGACGCGTTAAAACCGGTGCCAACTCTGGAGCACACGTCCTCAGCACAATTGGGGGATTCCGTCAGGCCCACTCGACTTGTGGATGTCCAGGGAGAGGAGTGCTTTGCGAACCGAGCGCTGTGTGAAGTGCACTTCCGGCATGGAGCACTCACACCGCGGGATGGTCGGCGGAGTACTCCCCCCGTCATCGAGAGTCGAGTTAGATGCAAAGAAAGAGCCTAGAAGATCGGCTTTCTCCTTTGCGGTATGGGCCAGTGAGTCGTCCTCCCTGTGCAGAGATGGAAGAGATGGCTGACAGAAATTTCCCTGGACAGCCTTGGCGAGAGACCAGAATGCACGGGTTCCAGAAGGAAGGTGAACTAGTTTCTCACCAATTCTGCCTATGTGCTCTGACTTTGCCTTGGCAATGACTCTTTTGAAGGACCTAGAGGCGGAATTATACTTCTTTTTTAGAGCGCTGGTGTTTACATCCCGGGACGCTGATGCATCAGCCCAGGCTTGGTAACACTCCTGCTTATAGCATGATGCTATTTTACAGGAGCGACCAAACCATGGCTGAGACTTGCCTCCAATGGGCACCACAGAGGAAGGAATAAAAAGTTCCATACCCTGAAGTACCACATCAGCGACAGAATCCGCAACAACGTTGGGATCATCCGGCGAGAAGCAAACCCGCCCCCCAAGGGTAGGATGCAAAGAAAGACCGCATCCCATCCCAATCGGCTGACCTATAGTGCCAAACACGGCGGCAGCCTGCAGAATGCAACCGCGATTTCAGCGTGAGTGGCACCACACTCCGGACCAGACAATGGTCCGAGGAGCCTAAAGGGGCGTCGACGGATATCTGATATCCGTCCGGCTGAGAGGTCAGCAGAAGGTCCAACAGGGAAGGTGCATGATCCTCCACATCTGGAATCCGCGTAGGCGAAGTAAACAATTGTGTCAGACCATATGCCAAGGCAAAATCATGAACAGATCTCCCCGCATGATCGGTTAAACGTGAACCAAGCCATTCGGCGTGATGGGCGTTAAAGTCGCCGAGGATCACGATCTCTGCGGAGGGGATCTGCTGTAGCAACGAATCTGTAGCCATTTGGACGTGGTCAAAGAGTCGGTCTGTTTCGGCATTAGCGCTATGGGACCTGTAGAGGTCGTCGCTGTCTACGCGTAGCCAAAGGATAGCCAGGTCCGAACCTTGAAGTCTGCCGAGGCGTCGAGAACAGATGTCCTCTCTGACGTAAACGCAAACTCCAGCCCGAGGCACAAAGGAATGTTCCAGTTTGTACCCCGGGTAGGAGAGATACGAGACATCAGCCGGAGAGGACACCTGCGTCTCGGTCAGTAAGAGCAGAGCCGGCCTCGCCGTCTCGAGATGGTAGTGGACGGCGTTTAGGTTAGAGTGAAGTCCCGTGATATTGCAGAAGTTCACGGACAGCGTGGCAGGGGTCGCCTTGGTCTTGTTGCTCCGTTTGCCCCGAGCAGTTGTAGTCTTGAGCGGAATTTCATCCAACTCTTCTACAAATCTATTATATATGGGGGCCTCTATACGACAAAAACATATATAGGTCCATCATTCTTAATTATTATTAGGCCATGCAACACCAGACAAGATTGCCCGCTATATTCAGTGGGTGTACAAGTTATTGTATCGGTTATTTCTTGTATACGCATGAGCATTTTAGCCCGGTATGTAGTACAATGGTATTTCATATTTTTTATATTTATTTCAGTTTCTTAAACTTTTTTCTATAACTTCTAGTTTATTTAAATAACCATCCAACAACGCCAATAGTTCATTAAATTTTTTACGCATTGATCTTACATTTAATATACAGCTGATTATTGTTTATACATCGTTTTTGTGCTTTCAGCCATTTATCGCGAGTCGTACGGCTTCTCAATCGCACAAACACCGGGCGCGGCTTTCATCCGGGTTCCTTTCCGGGCGCGGGATGAGTCTGCCATGTGACGATTAATGCGAATTCTCCCTACAACGGAAACCTACATGGTAAAACCATGCTGCATCTATATTATGATTGCTGCACGGATAAGTCGGCTCAAACGAGGGAAAAGCATGCTCTCATAGAGTTCTGGGAATAAAAGTGAGTATAGAGAACCGGTTACCTATTTTACTGGAAAGGAGGCATTCCATTTTAGTCCATAGGGTTGACAATGTATTTGTAATCTTATTCGAGGAGAGATGTAAATACCTATGGGCTACAGCATCCACATAACATCAGGTGGACTGTGTGCTATTTTGTCACCCATATATAATGGGATTCCCGTTCGTGTCGACCCTATAAACTAGAAAACTCTTCTAGAAACCATTAATTCCATCGTAGTTCTCAGGCGTAACCACGAATTTTCAGTTCGATTCTTAATCGAAGATGGATGGAGATGATTATGAGCCACAGCAATCACTTACCATCCGGTGGACTGTGCGCTTGTTCGTCACTCTCATTTTATAAAAGAAATTGTCTCAGCGATACAGATATGTTTAAAGAAATAAGAGAATTTACGAAAGAGTTTTAATTTATATTAAAAACAAATTAAATATAAAAGTTTTACTTTTTTAATAATTACTATTTATTTATTTATATATCGAAAACACACTTACACGCTTATCGTTTCATAGATTAGTAAAATTTGTAAGATATTTCTACTTTTTGTTATACAAATTATGTTAGTAATGATTGCATACATAGATCCTATGAATATATAATCATGTCAACAGATTGGACATTTTGAGTTATATAGTGTTTTGTTAATCGAAAATTAATGGAGGAAGATAAAATAAGTTTATGTATGTCGTGTAACATATAATTTATTTATTAACACCACAAATAGGATAATAATTGATCATATTCATGTCAATACCTCTAAAATTAATATGCTTTTTTTATGATCTATTCAGAGATAACCTCTTGAAATAGTGTTAGAAAATAACACCTTAAACTTTAAGTAGTAAAAACCCTCTTTTCAATGATATAGACTAAAATTAAACCCAATTTAAGCATTAATCAACATTTATTAGGACATTTGGCAAAAGTTACGAAAAAATCACATTCTATAAAAGACTGACTTCTTAAGTGTTATGAAATAAAGAAACAGACTTATTTTTTAACAAAAATTAAAATTTCTTACTTCTTCAACTTAAATAATATAAGAACTACCACAGAATCAGTCTTCTAAATTCACTCTCAGTCAGCTGCAGATTGTTTTGGAACAGCCCAAGCATATAGGCTTATGACACGCAACGCATTTGTACCTTGTGCGTCGCTTCAGCCTTGCTGGACACACCTTACAAGTCTTTTTGTCATTTTCACCAACAGCTGACTCAATGCGGCTAGCATCTGGCGGTAAATCTTCGCCAAGAATCCGTTTCATTGTCAGTCTTAACTCTCTTGGAAGACGGTCATTGTAGACTCGTCGTTGTAAATGTGGTAAAACTAATTCTCGGGCAAGATCCTGTAAGAATTGTCCTCTTGATATGTCTGATACGTCAGCACACTGCCTATAAAGCACAAAGGCATTCACTTCGCTCAAGTCTAGCAATCTGAAAAATAATGCTAAAGGCCATCTGCGAGTGCGGCGGCTACAGGAATAGTTCGAACATTTTTTATCAACTTCATCAACCCCACCCTTTCTCTTATTATATTCCATTATGATAACCGATTTCTTGGTAACGGGATCAATTTCGGACGTGTGATGCATGGATGAAATCAGTAATACTGCTTTAGATTTCTTGGGAACATAAGAAACCAAGGTAAAGTCTTTTCTAAATCCATGCAATGCTGTTTCAGGTTCTCTTGTTTTGGACGCTTGAAATTCAGGTGGAATGTGACGTTCATTTTTTTTAGAGTTCCAACATAAGTCAGACCTCTCTGTTTCAGCTGCTCCATTAGCTCATAAGAGCTGAACCAGTTGTCAGCAGTGATGTTACGATTGGTGTTCTTAAAGTCTTTACAAAGTCGCAAAACAGACTGTGTAGGAATTGCAAACTTTTTGTCATCTTCTGGTAAACCTAAACCGTCCGATTCCTTGCCACAGTAGATATAAGCATTATAGACATAAAATGTCTCAGCATCACAAACTAACAAAATTTTAAGTCCGTATTTTGCTGGTTTTTTGGGCATATAAATTATGAACTTGCATCGGCCTCTAAAGGGAATAAGCATTTCATCCACGCATAGGTAAGCACCGGGTACATAAACTTTTTTGCAATAAGATATAAACTTTTCAAATATATCCAAAATTGCTGCCTGTTTGTCAATCTATAGTCGTAGCTGTCTGGTTTCTACATCGTCAAAGCGAATGCGGTTCAAAAGTGTAAGAAATCTATACTGAGACATAACTGCACGAAATATCTCTCGACCTGAACCATCTGTAGCAAAGATATATTTGGCATTCTCATGGTTAGATTTGAAGACAGATGAATAGAATAATAACCAGAAGAAAGCCTTTATTTCTTCTGCGTCCGTGTTGCGAAGCTCAGGTTTTTCCTGATTTTTTATATAATGCCCGTATCTGGGCAAGTTTTTTGTTGGTATATTCAATTATTTTGTCAGTAATATCGTCATCCATAAAATGTCTCCAAAAGGTTTCTAGGTTGGTGAATGCTCTAGGCTGTGATCTAGGTATGTCAACCAAGTTGTGACTTAGTGAAGGACAGTTACGCATCACTGGTTCAACGCTTGACCATTTAAAACCATTCTTGCCTATGTAGTATCTTTGGGATTCTGTGTGTATATTATCTTGTATTGAAGATAGACCTGAATCTTCCATCGCAACTGAACTGCGGGGTGATCTTTGTCGTCGAGATTGAGTTTCTTCATCCTCAGATTGTTCTGAAGCCGAGTCATGATCACTGTGCAAACAGAAATCTGGATCCACTTCTTCATCGTCCACATCACTGAGGTCTCGCTCCAACTCAGCCTCTATCCACTGACTTAAGGTCTTTTCATTTGTCGAAGTATTTAGAGCTACTCGCTTTCGACTGTTTTCTGAAGGTCCAGATTGATCCATCTAAAATAATAACGTACACAGTGAGGTGACGAATAAGAGACACTTAGAAAAAAATACAATAATACTGTAGTGACATCTAATAAATTATTTACGCAAATACTGACCTCACATCTGAGGGACACCAAACGGTCGTACAGGTACAGGTGTTGCTGCCACGAGCGCGAGCACTCGACTGACCGATCACACCACCGAAACCCGAAGGTAGCGGGAGGGGTGGGAGCGTCTTTAAAAAATTAACGCCACGAGACTGATTTTTGCATCGAGGCCGTCTGTGAGTTTTTTTTTTTGCGCCCGAAGCAGTTAAAGGGCTACCCTATACGTAGGGAGGCGGTAAATGCATTACGCATACCACGATAGCCGGTCTATCGTGGTTATGAGGGGCTCACTGTCCTACCGGGGACCCTAAGTGATACCCTCTAAAAACCGCCTTCGGGGATAGGCAGCCGGCTGATTAAGCTGTATTGTGCCTTATCATGAGCGACCCTCTTTTGAGAAAAGAGGGCGCAGGCGGCTAAGAGCCGCTGAGGGAGTGCCTACGAAGGCAAATTAATGTTAGTTAATACAATAATTTAATTTAATTAGAGTTGGCCTGAGCCGCCAGGAGAGAGTTCAGGTCGTTTGAAAGTTTATTAGACGGGTCCGAGAGAGAGTTTCTCAGCCTGCGGACACGATAGCGAGAGGGGGGTGGGGCTGCATAAGAAGCTGCCTCACAAATTAATTGGTTTGGGTGTGACTCTTAGGCTTTGAAGAAGTTCTCAGAGAGTTTTTTAAGAAATTGTTGAATTGTTGGGAGCTCTAAGTCCCGATGAAGGTCGGCATTACGGACGTACCAAGGTGCGTTCGCAGCTCGACGACAGAAGAGGTTCTGAACTATTTGGAGTTCATTTATAATATTAGGGTTTGCGTGGGCCAAGACGGGGCCCGCGTAGGACATGACTGGTCGTATACAGACCTTGTAAAGGGTACGCTTGTTTCGAAGGGGCATTTTACTGTGTCGGCCCAACATACTGTTGAGCCTACTCAGATAAAACCGTGCGTGACGGGTTACTGTTTTGACGTGGGGCCTGAAAGTGAGCCCTGTGTCTAGAGTGACACCTAAATATTTGGCGGACGTATACCAGGGGACAGGGGTCCCTAGCATACGTATTGGTGGAGTGTTTTTGAGACGGCATCGTTTATAATCGAAGTGAACGGCGGAGCTCTTCTCCGGGTTCACATCGATGCGCCATTTTTTGAACCAAGCTCCTAGGTCATCAACTGACTTTTGGATCTTGTTCCGTATGAAGGGTAGTAAGACACCTTTGCAGTAGATGGCAGTGTCGTCTGCGAAGAGGGAGAGTTGAACACCTTTCGACGGGATGGGAATGTCGTTGGTGAACAGGATGTACAGCAGAGGAGCAAGTACTGAGCCCTGAGGGACACCAGCCTTGATAGTTCGCTGTGAAGATAGCGTGCCTTCGTGTCTAAAACGAAAGGTACGATGTTTTAAGTAGGAGGCCACGAGACGAACTAGACGATCGGGGAGACCTATTTTGTAGAGCTTGTAGATGAGGCCTGTGTGCCAGACTCTATCGAAAGCTTTAGCTATATCGAAAAAGACCGCGATGGTCTTATGACGACGAGGATAAAACCGCTGAGGATATATTCCACAATGCGGTGAACTTGTTGGGGACATGAGTGTTTGGCTCGGAAACCGAATTGATGGGCAATGATAAGAGGGTCGCCGTCTGTGGGAAACAGATAGCGCCTCATACGCGTTTGGATGACTCTTTCGAAGAGCTTGCCCATTGCCTTGAGGAGGCTAATGGGGTGATGACTGGAGGGGTCTGTGAGACACCCACGTCACTACTTAAAGGTTAATTAATATTCCAATGTAATCATAATGTAACATCACAACAACTCTGGACTGTGCAGTCCTGAGTCACCTGCGTTAATCTACTTTCTACATATCTGATAAGGTTGAATCATAGAAATAGATACAAAAAAAAACCAAAGTAATCAGTTATATTAAAAATGAATGCAATTCCTTGGTCATACGATGAGGTGTACACCTATTCACTTTCCCCTTCAATATCGCACACATGGTGTCCATAGCGCTGAAGCCAAGACACAAGTAAATATGAGCACTCGGAAGCACTAGTCTTCCTGATATCAGCGGTGGATCTGGCGGTAGGCTTTGGCCCAACCAAGATTCGACCACAGAGGGTGGGAAAAGCGGCGCCTCAAAATACCGTCAGTCCTCTTTACCCGCGGCCCCACTACCACTACACAAACTGTTACTCCCCTCATAGAGTTGCGGAGGATAAGGCGATTGGACGCTTCGTCATCAAACACTCGCGAATTCATCTCAGCTTCGGCCGTAGGGAAAGGAAACCCCACTCACCGCAGTCCACAAACAAACATCCGAAGGGGCAGTCATGTGGGTTCCTCTTAGCTCACCGTGGGTGACAAAGCATCGGCTACTAACTAACTAAGATATCTTTACTGATTATTAATGTACGTTGGCGAGCAAAGTTGATTCAGCCAAATATTTCTTTAATTTCACGTAAACGATTACCGTAAGAAATCAGATTTACGTTAACTTTATTTGATAATTTAATACAAAATATCAATACAATTTAAAATTACGGAGCTACTTACTCTATTCCACTCTTTTCTCTCCCGGCCCTTTTCAATTTGTAAACGTGGAAATAAAGTATTTCTCAAACCAAGTTCATTAAGTAACTCAGCACTTGGTTCTTTCGCACTAAATTTTCATTTAAAGATTTTGGGAATGCGATTAAGAAGCGTATTTTCTTAAGAGGAGCTTTTATGTTTATTCTTTTAGATTTTCAGTGTTCAGATACGTTGCAAAATAAAATTTGTAATTTTAAATAAAATTTATCGCTGTAGTCTTGAATTATACTTTTTATATTTTTGTATCCTGAAACCACTTGCGAATTTTGTCAGTCTGTCATTTGTCAGAGCATTGTAGGTTTACTACATGTAAAAAGAAAATTGGTTCTTTAATGATCTTTTTTATTTTTATAAATACTGACAATAGTTTATAATAATATGTTACTATTACACTAATTAAATCTGAACAAAAATATTATTTATAGAATATAGTATAATAGGTTAACAAACGAGCAGTGACTGGACTGTTCACTTGACAGTAAGTAGAGAGTACTGCGAAGAGATGTTGCATCTCTTTGCGTAATTTATCGCATTTACCACGGGAATTGCTCTAATGTCAGTCGTACAATTTCACCATTGCACATCGCCACAAAACTCACAATACCATCTATTCCTTCTGAATGAATGGCGGTCCACCACTGTGCGATTTAAAAGTTTTCTTCCTCACCGTGTGGAATCGACTACCACGAAATATTTTTCAGGACCGACACTATTTAGGGACCTTCAAGAAAAGAAACTCCTTCTTATTAAAAGGCCAGAAACGCACCTGCAATTCCCCCGGTGTTGCAGTTGTTCATGGGCGGCTGTAGTCACTTACCATCACGTGAACTGCATGCTCGTTTACCCCCTTTCCTACAAAAAAAAAAAGATGCTGTGGCTCATAGACATCTATATTTATCCTCGCTTTAGAATGAAAATGGAGATGCGTTGTCACTTTTGAGGTCTACGATGAAATGCCTCGTTTGCAGTAAAAAGTAACTCAGTTTTTCTACACTTACCATACTAAACACAGCAACATAAAAGCTGCTATTTTATCTCGGTATTCTGTGAGAGCGTTGTCCTACCCCGGTTGAGGCCATCACAGCTAATTATATAATTCACTAAATAAAACATAAAGGCTTACAGGTTTTCTTTGGAGTGTTATTAACTCTTAAGTGACTTTCTTTTTTTATATGTAAACTTTTGTACCTATAAGTTAGGGCCACTTTCCTGACATTTTTTCTCTATCACGTTTTCATTTTCGCTAAGTGATGTCCTCCAGATCAAATTTATACTTTTAGATTTTCTGTAATAACTGAGTTTTAAAGTATTATTTAAGGTATATTTATTGACAAAAGCAATTACATTTCATACCTTTATGACCTGGAGTTCACAATTCAAACGAAATAAAATTAAGTGCCTGTATGTAATATTAAAATAAATGACTTCTTTTAAGCACAGGGAGTTATTTGCATGTTATGAAGACATGAAAAACCATTTTAAAAGTTTTGTCTGTCTGTCTGTCAGTAATGTAAATCTGTAGACAGCAACACCAGGAGGGATCTAGGTTATATTTTATCCGAAATATTTGAAGATAAAAAATGATAAAATAAATGGTTTTAAATCTAAATAACGCTTAATTAAAAGTTGCTGGTCGCTAGTCTGCCGTATAAATCTTAGAAGCTCTTAAGTATCATGTGATAAGTTCACTTATTATAAAGTTTAGTTTTGTTTGTATTTCCTATCAATATATTTTTGAAAAGGTATACACTTTTAAACTTTTGGATGGATTTTGATTTACCACGAGAATCGGTTTATATCCCAATTAGTAAGAATTTGGAATCTAAGAATGAATGTAAGATATTACACTTCACAATAGTCAGTATTAGAAAAGGATAATATTTAGGTAGGTGGTAAATAATTAATATAGTATATCGTACAGAATAGAACCCTCCAAATGCGGATAATAACTGGGTTACGAAAGTCAACGTAGTTAGTTAACAGTTTCAATAGAATAAAGTTCTAGTGGCGCGGTAATTGGCGAAGTAATTTCCGTATAATGGGTAAAAGTTTTAATAGACAGCAACGTGGAGCTGTGTTAACAGTTGTATATTCGCGACAGCTGATGCACCGCGGGACGGGCTCGCGACTATTTGCATTTCAGGTTACTGCATTTCTGTTTAACCTACATGCTACGTATAAATAAGTCAACAAACGGGGTATAGCCACGCTGCAGCTATATAGGTTTATTTTGTAATAACCGGGCAAATTTTCAGAGAAGTTTCATAAAAAGTAAAATAGGCAAATGGCGAAGACAAATTAATAAAAGAAATCCAAATATTCTG